TCTTCATTTTGTTTTGCATGAACGCTCTCTGAGGACAATACAATATGCTGTTAGTGTACAAATTCAGAATTTGTACACTAACAGCATATTGTATTGTCCTCAGAGAGCGTTCATGCAAAACAAAATGAAGACCAGAAAAGCTCGGGTAAGCATTTACTTCAGACTNTGTGTGCCTTGGCAGTCTCAGGCCCGAACCACCTCAACTGGCTCCTTTCGACACGAAGGAGGAGCGGTTCAACTCCGAGTCCCTCCCGGATGACTGAACTTCTCACCTTATCCCTAAGGGAGACACCAGCCACCCTGCGGAGAAAACCCATCTCGGCCGCTTGTACCCGCAATGATTTTAGATGTAGGCTATTAGACTATTAAAAAAAGAAATCATGCTTCAAATAAGTGGGGGTACGGCGTACCCCCGCGTCCAACGCCCACTACACCACTGAACTACAAAAAGCTAAGGTTTGTTTTCTCATCAGGAAATGCAGACCGGCTCAAACAAAAGATTTTTAAATCATCATCCTCACGATCATTTAATGTATCATATGTTCGGCGAATTGACATGAAAGCACTAATAAATGTAGTTTCATCCACTTGAGTTTACCAAAACAATCGTTTTGTTGTTATATCACATCCGACGGGAGGAAATTCAGCAGCTCTCACTACCGATTTGTAATCCTAATTTAATCATCATCTTCACCACGATCATGTATGTTTATGTTCGCCGAATTGACATGAAAGCACTGACATATATGAATATACTGTAATCAACTTCATTAAAACGTTATTAACGTGCCTAAACTCAGTAATTCACCATTTCTACGCATGACAACACACTTTGTCCGTGTTTGGCTCTCTCGCCGCACAGTGAAGCGTTCCCGCATTGACGTCACTTCCGGCTTCCCCCAAAACCTCAAAATGAGTCGAAGGAATTTTCCCGCGATGTTCGAAATTATTGATATTTATCGGAACGGTATCGCTTTTTCTTTTTTAAACTGACGGTTCGAGATTACTAGTAGCCCACTATTTCATTGCACAACAGTTGTTGGGTTCGTGTCACAGGCTCTTTAAGAGCTTTGGAAGGTGAGGATGGTGCAAAGTAAATCAACGTTTGGCNCTCCTTCGCGTCGAAAGGAGCCAGTTGAGGTGGTTCGGGCACCTAGTTAGGATGCCACCTGGGCGCCTCCCTAGGGAGGTGTTCCAGGCACGTCCAGCTGGGAAGAGACCAAGGGGTAGACCTAGAACCAGATGGAGGGATTATATCTCTTCGCTGGCCTGGGAGCGCCTTGGGATCCCCCAGTCAGAGCTGGTTGATGTGGCCAGGGAAAAGAAAGTTTGGGGCTCTCTGCTGGAACTGCTACCTCCGCGACCCGACCACGGATAAGCGGGAGAAGATGGATGGATGGATGGATTTTCAATTTAAATGTATTTATTTTAAAAGGTAAATACATATCATACATTTAAAAATACAAAAAATACATGTTAATAAAGCTGTTGTTGTCTTTTTATGTCCCTGGCAATGACTTCAAATGCAACAATTATGTGTGCGTGTTAGCGTTGCTGTTCCAAGCGTGACATCACAGTTTGTTTTCAGTTCAGAGTCACAATGATGAACAATAAACAAGTTGGCTGTAAATGAAGTAAATGTTTCCAAAGGGGCATTAAGGTGGAATCCCGTGTTCTCTTGATAATGCCAGTGTGTATGTGTTGGTGCTTCTTGCGGTCTCACGCTTAACTGCAGGGTTTTAGAGCAAAAGAACAAACAAAAAAACCCAGTCATGCATCCTCCCCCTGTGAGAGGACCCCTGAAGCTTTGTGTTTCCTCAGCCCTAAATTATTGGTTATGTAAAAAGTGATCGTATGAATAAGTCAGAAGCAAAATGCTCTCCTGGCTTCCCTCAGCCATTGTGTCTACATTGTCAATCAAACTGACAACAGCGGAAAGCGCGTTAAATATTTGGAATGCTTCAGCCCCTCTGTGCCACATGAAGTTTCTGCTGTGGTAATATCACATGCAGCGAAGGCTGAGTGAGCTTCGATGTTCTTTTTCCAGAACAGCACCCTGCTGTACCAAGTTTTCATGTCACATTCAACGGCAAAAGCTTCAGCTATTTTGAAAGCAAGAGAGGCAAGGGAATCTGGAACTTAATGGTCTAAAGTTTATTTCGACTTAATAATTAATTGGTTGATAAATTATTGTTGAAATCACGTCTAAGAACCTGAGTCTATTAACACAAGAGGAAGATGTAAGTTAAACTGAAGGTTAACATAGTAGTAAGAGGCCTTAATCATATTTATATTCCATTTGAATTGACTTTAAGTAAGCTACAATGCTTGTATTTAACGTATAACCATGTTTGGGAAAGTTTAAGATTATACCTTGCAAATTATTCAGTTATGATGTAGTATATACTGTAAAAATGTGTAACCTATTGGGAAAGAACACAAGGGGTAAGGTAATAATAAAGGGAAATTCAGCACACTTTGATGTACATTTCCCATCAGTTCGGATGCTAAAGAATGTCTCTATGCGTTCTATGTTGACCAAGAAAGCATCGCTTGTATTGCAATGTATACAAAAGCAAAAATGGTACCCCAAAGTATGAGTGCAGAGGATGTTATGGACCAGGATGCACATTACAGTGTTATGTCTGATACAAACATTCGATCGTATTTATTCATGTATATGATTGAAGTAATGCAGCAAAGAGAAGCCAAGGATGTTGCTGCAATACATTTGCAAGAAGATAAGCCCAAATGGGGAAGCTTCACCATCAGATGCTTATGCCCAATTCACCTTGGTACATAATGGGAATGACAACTGATAATAGCATGTTCTGTCAAATATTTAGGCGTGTTATGGTAGTAGCAGCTAATGTAGCATCAAGCTGCCAGTTTTCAGTAGAAATGAGGAGGCTACAAACGTCTTTTAAGCTCACTTTTCTCCAAACCCCCGGATTTTAAACAAGCAGTCTTCAGACCCAGCAAATGGCTCAAGTGACATCTTGAAGAAATTTGCAATTTTTCACAAAGCTCCCTCTAGGGCCAAAAGGGCTCTTTATAACTTCCAAAACAGACTATGATGTATACAATTGATGAAGTTGTATATTTTTTTATAACTGGTTTGTTTTACGACAGATTCAGTAAAAGCACAGATGCTGAGGAATAGTGCCGAACATTATTGCATATAACAAGAGCTGGTCAAATCACCAGTCCTTCGGGGAAATACAAACACTCACAACAACATGGTGAAAGATACAGTGAAGTGCTATGCGCCTTCTTGGTGTATTACATCATTTCAATAATTCAAAGCTTGATTCTAGTGTATCTTTGCCTTGATGGATGTAACAGAATAATGCTTGGCTGTGTTTCCTGTCATATCGGATCTTTGTCAGAGTCCATTAGTTGTCTGTTGCGCAGATATGAATGTCGATGGCTCAGATTTTTTTTTTTGTCTCATTAATTATTTTCCTATTGAGCTAAAGCGAAAGAGAAACCCACCAGCTAATGCAATTTCATGGAAAAAACCCTGAAAGAAGGTCAGGTTGAAAAAAAAAGAAGCTCTCCTTTTAGGACACTGGTGAAGACAGCCAAGTGTTCTGCCTAAAAGACTGTGCTCTCTTGGCGGTAGGTATAAAATAGCCTCCTGTAAATTATTCAAGAACCCATCTGCTTTTACTTACAAGTATCTTCAAAGTATGAACCACAAACAGTTTTTTAGGACCCTGTCTGTGAGGAAAAGTTGAGAGTTTGAATATAGAAACTCAACTTTGTCATCAGAGACATACCAAAAGAGATTCACAGGGGTCCGCTGAGTATCTTAAAGTAGCCCTATTATGCTAATTGAACAACAAGTGACATCTTATGTAATTTCCAGGTTTCATAATTGTATTTCTACTGTGATATGTTAACATGCTTGGATGTTCAAAAAGTGCTTTATTTTTAATTCATATTGTTTATCTGATTGGTTAGCTGGCAGGCTCTGTTGTGATTGGTCAACCGCTGAGAGATTTCCCGCCCATTAGCCTATCACATACAATGTATGAAGCCAATAGAAGCTTGAGTGTTACATAGTGATGTCACTATATAACGCAAATGTAAAAAAGGACTATTATCAAGGTGTTTCAGGCAGGGGGAGTGTGTAGGAGAGGAAAGGGTAAATCCCAAAAAGCACAATAGGGCCTCTTTAAGTCATGAGGGCTCACACTTATCACCATGCTCTATACCCACAATGTAAACGAGATGTCACAGAATACAAATATGTATAAGGTCATTATCGCAACATTTGTATCAGCAACTGGTAGCCTACCAATCACATCAGGAACTGTTTTTGCTCTTATGCTATTTAAAGACACACATAGCGAAGCCTAGCTATTATTAATGAAACTCAGGTCATGTCCTTGATGTTCTCTCTGGAAAATGGGGATGTGGGCAGCTGGAGGAGCTGTTATTCTACAAATAAACTACACCTGATGGGGTATTTGGTAGTGATGTTGATATCCTGTTCCACTTAATTGTATTTCAAATGTGGCTGGTTAAAAAATCAAGTATATTAAATAGAATTTCAGTAAAATAATGTGTATGATATTTCTGGTATGTGGAGAAGAGGTTGAATTATGTATTGTGTGTAATGCATTGCATCATCACAAAATAAAAAACAGCAGTTTGATCAGTCTGTCCTCTCAAGGAATTCTCACAGTTGGATTCACAGTAATGAACCTTTCATAGCAAACAAGCCTTCTGGATATCTTCTCATTTCATTAAGAGCCCATTTCAAATTAGTGACACCTTTAATGTGAACTGTGCATCGTTATCTACAACAAATTCGTATTATTGGGTAAGTTATCCCTTTGCAGCTCACTGAAACCTAATAAAGTCAACTTCCTGTGTGTGTGTGTGTGTGTGTGTGTGTGTGTGTGTGTGTGTGTGCGTGCGTGCGTGCGTGCGTGCGTGCGCGCGCGAGAGAGAGAGCGAGAGAGAGAGCGAGAGGGGGGGGGGTNATGAAACATTTACCAGTCAACGTTACACCGGTCAACACTAAAATACCAAATCTGTACTGACCAATACTTGGTCAGAGTTTTACAATTTCAATCATTCATTCTGGAAATAAAGGGTCCGGGATATGGCTAGCCTTTAGCATTTCCTGTTCAGGTCTCATGATTGGAAAATCTTTTATTGTGTTCTATAAATAACTAAGTGTTATATACACAATAACACAATGTGTGTGTGTGTGTGTGTGTGTGTGTGTGTGTGCCCCTTCATATTTATGGGATGGACATTGACCTTCCCGTTCCTTTGTTGCCATTTCACTGACTCATTTAATTGGACTGTTGCTTCAGTTCCTCAATATCACACACACACACATTCATTCATCCCACTTGGCATCACACCTGTGAGGGAAATACTCATTGACAGACTAAAACCTTATTAGCTCATCTAAGTGTTAGTAACTGTATGAGGGTAAAATGGGCTTTATAACATGTGCAAGGATGTACTACCGGTAAATCTTGTTTACATGTTGGGATTATGTTGCAGTTTTTATGATAGAAGCAGCAAGATACCTTCGATATGAAAACTAACCTGTACATGTGGTCTGTTTTCTTTTCAGATAATTCTGAAGTTAAGAACAGATCAAGAAAAAGTAAGAAAGAGCCGAAAAGTCCAGAGGGGACTCGACAAAGGAGGGTTAAATATTCCTGAAGATGGAACCGCAGATTTGGCAAATGCAGGTCGCCCCTCAAATCTCTCCTGGAGAGCTGAAAAAGAAGGTGTCAATCATGAGCCAGCCGGAGTGCTCCATCTGCTACAACACCTACGACAATGTATTCAAAACACCCAAGCAGCTGGACTGCACCCACACATTCTGCCTGGAGTGCCTCTCCCGCCTCATGGCCGTCTCGCTGAGTGACCAGGAGGATTCCGGTGGCAGCCCCCGCCTCTTATGCCCCTTCTGCCGCCACCCCACAATGCTGCCTGAGCAGGGCCCCCCCGCCCTCACCACCAGCCGAGAGGTCCTCTGCAAACTGCCCAGCCACCAGCAGCAGGAGGAGCCGGTGTGGCTGGAGGGGGAGAAGCTGTGCTACAAAAGCTCCAAGCAAGACCCCAGCTTGGGCTCCTCTGAAAGCCCCTCGTCCTTCTGCATCTGCATTGACATTGGGGCCAGCAAGGTGATAGACGCTCCGATCCAGACGGGGCCCCGGACTCCTGGGCTGCTGGCCCGGCTGGCGGACTGGAAGAGGCTGGTGCTCTTCATGGTGCTCATCGTGCTGCTCATCGTGGTTGTGTTATGGCCCCTGCAGTGTGTGTTCAGCACTGGGAATATGCGCTGTATGCGGGATCACGTCATCCTGAACCCCACTACCACAACGACCAGCACCCTCAGCACCTTCACCAAAAGACACGGTCGGACACAGTGAACTTTAGACTGACTGGACTTCAATATAAACACACATTATATTGTATATGACAAATTTCACCAAATTGCTCTTTTGCCACAGATGTTAAAGCCACTTTTGTGGCCTATTTAGATGTCGGACTTTAGCATCCCCTAGTGTTTGGTTTCAAAATGGGTGAGATGAAAGGGTTGAAAGAAACAGACTGAACTAATTTTCACTTTTTCTGTTATTGTGTCATGTTCCATTAGCTTGATTTGAATTAAAAAATATGTTATCCTTAACAACTGTCATTACATGTGACTTTAGGCTTTGAAACTCAGTGGTGCAAATTGACCTCTGACAGGCACTTTGGTTCAAATTGTGTTCAGTGACACAGACATTGATAGAATCCACATTTACAGAGCGTACTACCAGATGACAGAGCACGCGTGGGTTGATATGTGCATACAAACAGGTATTTCCAAATGAAAAAGTTACATTATTTTGAACTTTGATTTGTAAATATATGGAGTTTACCGTAAGGGTTAGTAAGGTCAAAAAACAGGAAATGAATGTAAGCCCAATGTTTCAACATCAACTTTTTAAAGTGTGCCTTTCGTCATGGCCTTGTTTACAGAAGATAATAAAAAGGGAGACTTTAGCTTGAATCATGTTTCTGGGAAACTTTGGTGCCTCATTATTTAGATTAGGATCATTTCGTGACATTTGGCACTTTGTTAGGTAGTGGTTTAATCTGTATGAAAGCAGGTGTCTCAAATTCCCCTTTAAGTAGCACACAGCTCCAGACCGGCTTAAACGCAAATAGAAAATATTTGCCATTTCCCAGAGCGCTGTTTATTATTTCCTCCCTATCTGACCCTTAAACCAAAAACCATAAAAGACAACCCTTCCTTCAGATTGGAAGGAAGGAAGAGCCTTTATTTTTATTCCGGCTTTAGGTGCGTCAGATAAAGGAAAAGTTTGGATTGGGGGGTTTTCCAAATACCTCACTTGTGTGACACATCTATGGTAGGACAATTCACGCTAAATTCTCAGTCATTTAGGTGTGGTCGTAATAAAGTGCTACTTCCCTGAGGAACTTACAGTAAACATGGTTAAACGATACATGCAGATTAGAAAAAGGCTCAGTCATCTCTTCAACATGGATTGTAGAAAATATATCCTAAATCAGAACGACAATAATAACTATTTATGTATAGAACGAGTAAAAAGTTCTTGTTCATTGGCTTTATTTTTCTCTAGGGAATTTACACATTTATAAAAAAGGATAGCCAAATATGAAATGGTCTTTGCATTCCAATGAAGCAGAATTAAACTGTTTCCTTGTTGATAGCATCTACATAAGACACTTTCTTTCAACACTTAATGCGCCTCATGTTAAAATGCTGAAAATAACAGCAGCGCTTACTTGAAACTCATTCTTGTGGTTTCCCCTCTTTCTTTTTATCAAAAGTTATAAAGCAACATTTCTACAGATCATAAAATAATCGTTCATTACCGTTTAATTTGCATTTTTTCCGGAATGTGTTTCCTGCCTTGCTTTTTTAATATTAATTATTGTTAACTCGTGGTTCACTGGGCTTTATTCTCCATCATCACACGGTTCATGCTCCAGATTCACACAACAGAAATAATGCAATATCCAAGTGAGACTTAACATACTGCCATAATAGATTTTTATTAAACTATGTGATAATAAACCATTTTTTTGCCATTTCTGGCAGCTCATTGCATCAGCATTTGTAGCCTATACAGCGAAAAGGCGTCTGGGCAGAGCCAGTGCAAGAATAGGGGGAGAAGGGGGGACAACACGGGAGGTCACCACTACTCACTTCAGGCATACTGCCACCAACAGAAACAAGGAATCAAAACAAAAAGACATCATGTTCAAGTAAAAGTAAGAGGACGAGCAGAAAGAAAATACCGTGACTACTGCATAACTCCATGTATGCTGGTTCAACTCAAATGTACTCATCAAAGGTGAAATGACACCAGAAATAATAACAATTCAGACACATTACAAAATGCAAGAGTGGATAAAACAATCAATTACAAATACCATTTGAAATGAAACAAGAAAAAAACAAAAACTGAAAAGTCTAGTGCACTACCAAAAATACTCCCACAGCCGACAGACATTCTCACACACAGGCCAAAGCTTCAGCAGTTTCACACTTTCAAGTATTGATGCTTCACCATATAATTAGAAAACAAGTTTGACCCATAGAGGCAAAGTGAAATACAATAAAAATCTAAATGATCCACAGCGCAAGATGGTTCAGAAACACAGACACAAACCCATGAAATTCATTCACCGGACATACAGTAGATCACAGTTCAGAAGAAAAAGGACAACAAGGAAAAAAACGGAAGAATACAAACATCTTCATTGTCCAAATTTACCGAAGTACATCGAGTGGTGCAGCATATTTCAGACAGACGTTGGCCTTCACTGACAGGGCATCAATGCCACACATTAATAAAACATAGCTTTTATTCACATAAGGAATCAACCATTAGAATACACTTGCAGCAATTTATGGCGGGAAAACTCTCAACGCTGAGGGAAAAGAAGGACAGCAGTTTCAGCTGAAACTTTAATAAAATTATTATTTTAAAAACAGAACTCACACAGAGTGGCTGCTGCAGCTTACACTGTGCCTTTATTTAAATATCCCGCACATGTCAACAGTATCAAATTACAGTTTATTACACTGCAATGACTGACTTCTACTACTTCAGTTTTTTTTTTATTATGCATTGTATTTTAAATAATTTATTTTAAATATATATATGAGCCACAGCAGCAGAAACTGGCCAATGAGTGAAGAAAAGTGAGTGTCCTTGACCTGGTTAGCTAACATCTCTGCTGGTGAGGAAGAGGAATGGTCTGAGCGCTCATTGATTGATTATTTCTTTTTTTCAGAAAAAGGTGGAACACATTGTCTAGTTTTTATTTGTTGGACTTTAGGATGATCAAGTGGTTCTTTTTTAAATACGTTGGGTCAGATTTTAATGCTTCTGCACTTGTATTTGATCAGGATATTTTGGTGCTGATCCTGGAGCTATAAATAGATAACAATCTGGCAGACGGTGCCGAGGGCTCAGCGCTCCGCAGCACCACCGTCTTCGTTATCGCATCACTGACGTGGGCTTACTCGCCCCGCTATCATCAAGCCTGGATTATGTCCATCTTCCAAATTACTTTTCGGAGACAAATCTATTCTTCAATCTCAGGCAGATGGCCATCTGGCCCGCGTCATAATCGCCCCGTTTTCCCTCGTCTCCTTGTGACCATCTCCTCCGACAGATGTTGAACTGCATCAGACCCGCTGATTTACGAGGGCAGCCAGTCAAAAACTGAGCTGAGAGACGGCCATTCAGGAATCCTCTCCACCTGTTTCCTGTCAAATGTGGACCACTATTACAATCTATCGATAAATCATCTTACAATCTGTGGATGCTGCTCAGACGACCGTGCCCAAACGTGATCTCTTCCACCTTAATGATTCTTTATAAAAGTATGAATTTGAAGAATCTCATATGTTACACAAATGCTAAGAATGATTGAAATAATGAAAATATGGTGATTTGAAGGACAGACATTTTCATGATTGAGTTTATACTCAAAGTGGGATCAGCTGTAGGCCATCCAATGACAGATAGGGCTGATGTATTTTTTCAAATAATGACCTCAAATTCTCACAGAGCACAGAACAGCTGATTTGCATATGCAGAAGATCATATGCCGTACAAACAAACAAATACCTTTTTTTTAAAAGCTGAAATGATCATGATAAAACCTTTTGGAGGAAAGGGCTTGTTTGCCCTTCACCTGTGCCTCAGGGTCCTTCAGCAGGCTACGTAACGGTCCCTGCGATCACTCAGCGGCCACATTAATAACCGCCACAACTGGAGAGACAGAATGCCTCAAAACAGTCTTAGGCTCAGGCTAAAAGACGGAGAAAGAGGAATAGCGAAGGTGAATTCTGGCAAGGCGCAGACAAACAGCTTAGCTTTGACCTCTTCTCAGGTCCCGTACAGTTCTGTTCTATTCAGGCCGGAGAACACTCCTAATTTTCCTTCATCCAGAGCAAAAACAACTTTGATTTCCAGAATTTGGAAAAGTGGTAAAAGTTGAGGGGGAAGAGCACAATTTAGAGGGATTACAGACACATCCTGAGTCAAGGCACTTACGCTGAGAAAGAAAGGAAGTGGGGGGAGAAAGGGGGAGAGTCCTGAGCGAGAGTATTATGCTGTGGAGTCATCCTCTCTAAGGAGAGTAAGCTTTGACTCGGTCCAGCAGGAGAAAGGGGGTCGGCTCGCAGCATGCAGCCCAGGCAGGGTGCACTGATGCTGGGTGTAGTCAGAGACTCACTCCCTCCTCCCCCAGAGGGATTCAGGCGCTGATGAAGCGACACCTCCACTGAAACTGAAGCAAACACAAACAGACAGGAAGACAAGTGGAGTTAACGGCTGGTGTCACTTTGAATCATGAACATCAGGACAGGATGTAAATCAGGATATGGAGCTCAAAGCAGCATTTATATAGCATGATCATTGGCCCCCCATCCCGTACCAAAACCATCCAGAATTTAAACTTCACCATTGACAGCCACCCCCCCCCTCACATCCGCAACCTCGGAGTCATCTTTGACAGTCAGCTCAAATTCAATCACCACATAAATCACATCACCAGGACCGCCTTTTTCCACCTCAAAAACATTGCCCGTCTCCGCCCATCACTCTCCTCCTCTGCTGCTGAAACCCTGATTCATGCATTCATCACATCACGACTCAACTACTGCAATAGCATCCTCTATGGCAGGGGTTCCCAAAGTGGGGGTCGCCAGATGATTACAAATAAAAAAATGATAATTAAATAAAAAAAACGTCTATCCACCTTTGTTTAATTATTATTAATAACAACGTGCGTGTGCATAGACATTTTGCAGGGGCGGCTGGCCATCTGTAGAATTTCTACCTACCATTGACAAATCACTAGCACCCCCCCCCGCGCGGGCTGAAACGTTTGGGAACCCTCGATCTACGGCATACCATCCAACCATCCATCCATCCATCCATCCATCTTCTTCCGCTTATCCGTGGTCGGGTCGCGGAGGTAGCAGTTCCAGCAGAGAGCCCCAAACTCTCTTTTCCCTGGCCACATCAACCAGCTCTGACTGGGGGATCCCAAGGTGCTCCCAGGCCAGCGAAGAGATATAATCCCTCCACCTGGTCCTAGGTCTACCCCTTGGTCTCTTCCCAGCTGGACGTGCCTGGAACACCTCCAGGTGGCATCCTAACTAGGTGCCCGAACTACCTCAACTGGCTCCTTTCGACGCGAAGGAAGAGCGGTTCAACTCCGAGTCCCTCCCGGATGACCGAACTTCTCACATTATCCCTAAGGGAGACACCAGCCACCTTGCGGAAAAAACCCATCTCGGCCGCTTGTACCCGCGATCTCGTTCTTTCGGTCATGACCCATCCTGCATGACCATAGGTGAGGGTAGGAACGAAAATGGCCGGGTAGACAGAGAGCTNGTGGCTGTGAGGGAGTGTGGTCGTCTTTCAACCAGAAGGTTGTGGGTTCGATCCCAGCCCATGCAGTCAACATGTCGATGTATCCTTGGGCAAGATACTTAACCCTGAGTTGCTCCCAATGGCGTGGCCAACGGTGTGTGAATGTGTATGAATGTTAGGTCCTAGAGTAAGGTCCACTGCTCTGTATGAATGGGTGTGAATGGGTGAATGACATGTAGTATGTAAAGCGCTTTGAGGGGTCTTAAAGACTGGATAAAGCGCTATATAAGTACAGTCCATTTACCATTTACCATTTAGATGTGGGACCGTTTATGTTTCTAATGCTGTTGTTGTTGTAAATGTCATGTTTTGTTTAGATTTCTCTTACATGACTATGCACTGCAACATTTGTTTTGTAATTATTTATTTTACTTGTTCGAAATAAATGTATCAATCAATCAAATCAATCAATCAGGCAGATAATAGACGGCTTCATTTGCTTTTTCAATGCACGCAAAAGTTGAAATCAGAGCTTCAACATTTGGGAAAAATAAATAATTTCCATTATTTTAAGTAATATTGCAATTGTATATGATTTGTGATATTAAAGGGAATGACCATAACTCACTTTATCATTGAAAAATATACTTAAATGTTTTTTATGAAGCAAACAAGTCTTGAGAATACCGTTTGTAGGCCAGGACTCTTGCAACAACAACACAATACTTAATTTTTCACTCATTTTGCTGCTACCAATTATCACGCCTTCTGAGATTTGGATATTGCCCTAGTCCATAATGCGTTTCGGAACTAGTTTAAATCAGCTTATTTTCCACTGAAAATGATCGAAGTGAACCCAATCTCAAGGCCTCAGATTCTCAGCCATCAGTTCCTTCAGAAACGACTGCAGGACATTTTCAACAGGTTTTTTCTTCAGTCCAGGTTTGACTGAGTTGCAGATCTCAGGCAGGTGTTGGTTTGACAGCTCAGCCGGTATTCCTCGATAAAGTGCCAGGTTTAAATATTTGCTCAAATATTCCCCAACGGAATGGATCCAGTCTTTTTTGAGGTTGACCATTTTTCAAATCTGCTACCTGTGTGCCATTTTTAGCACATGTTTTATTCCCCATCGTGATGTGAAGTGTCACAGTTTGCTTACAGAGGTTTCAACAGTCTCTTTTCGGCCGTTTCAGTCCTGATGCTCTTCGGTTAAACAGACGCCGTCACCTCGGCCCGACCACACTTTCCACCCCGCTGGTGAAATACCACAGAGCGGCTCAGCATTTTCAAACTCTCTGGACATTTATTACAGCAGACAGAATCCTCCTGCAGCTGCAAGTACCACCGTCCTCACAAACCAGGACTGTTTGCGTTTGGGCAGCTGCTCAAATACTGTCAGGCTGAAGACAATTTACAGCTCGAGTTATTACGATGTGAAGCGATACAAATTATTTCTTGCATTACAGCAGCTTAAGTTGCAATATCAACAAATACAAACAAAAGAAGCAATTTAATATGTCTCTGTTTTGGATTATAACTATGGATTTTTTATTATATCTTGTATTTATATTTTGACCTAAAGGAGAACTTTACCTGAGCGCCTAATGTTTGAAATCAAAATATTATTGCAGGAGTATTTTATTACACAATGACAACTGTAATCGTTTGCAACATCTTCTGAAAAGCAATAAGTTAGCATTTCAAACTCAAACACTTCTTGTGCCTGCTGATCCTTAAAAACAAAAGTGATTTGTCTTTTTTTGTGAGTATATACTAGGGCTGCACGATTTGGGGAAATAATCGAATTGCGATTTTTCTGACAGATATTGCGATTCGATTTGCGATATTTGTTTTTAAACGACCCAACGGAAGTTTATTGTGAAATGCGGCCATATCTCCGGCTAGGAAGGTCGCATCAACGTGCTCCCGTCTCTAGCACCCCCGCAGCCCGAGCTACGAGTGAAAGAACTAAACTTAAATGAAACTTCCGTTGGGTTGCTTTAAAGTCAAGCTTCAGTTTCAGATACACTCTGTAATAGAAACATGTGATGGAGCATTGCTAACCTGACTCAGACGGTTTGTTTCACCAAACCATCTAGGAAAGCTCCATTGGAAGCCATTTGGAAAGGGCAGGCACTTTCAAAAATACTTGGCAGGTGATTGGATCAATCTGTCTATCACCTTCTATCATGGGCCACTTCTGATTGGTTAACAATGGCTGGTACATGTGGAGCACAGCACTTCTGATTGGTGTGGAGGACTGACACACAAGAAGAAAAAAAAAACTAAAAGAAATAGCAGGCTTTGCCATTTGATAATTGCATCATTTAAAATCCCGATTTCGATTTAAAATCGATTAATCGTTCAGCCCTAGTACAGTATATACCAGTTTGTCCTCAAAACACAATTTAAATGTGCTATCCCGGTGGCTCTTGTGGCCAGGGGGCCCATTTTGATCCGTGCGGCTCGTTCCGAGTCTAACGACTTTACGGCGTCGGGCGCTCCACCCCGGCGACCGCGTTGTCACCTCCCAAGCTCTTTGCTGTCACAAACGCCTCGCGTGGGGCGCCGCCTCGCACCCCTCCAAGGTGTCGGGTCCTTGGAGGTGGGATAACAAATAAACAAAGAAACATAGGCAGACGACACACAGTTCGAGAACTACAATACATTGCATTCGCAGAACAACTCGTCTGATACTCAGTCTGCCTACGCAATGTGTTGCCGAGGTGATCTTGTATGTCGGTCTGGCATGGTATATCTTTTTATTTGTATTAATGTAAGTTCTGTAGGGCACCTATTAGTTGAGTCAAGTTATGTGGACTTTTTAGGTCCGCTCTCCCTCTATCTCTTGTGGGTTAGGTTCGGTCCTCGCTGCTCTAGACCCGCTCTTGCTGGTGTTGCAGGTGCCGTGTATCGTTTTGTCCCGGATAGAACGTTCGTGTGAGATCCGAGAGATACAATTTTATGTAGTCTAGGGTATGGTCTTCTCTGCACTGTTTGGCTTCTACCGTGCCAGGGTCTCCGTGCCGCTCGTTGTGCCGGCACGGCTCACGTTCCGGGAGGCTAACCGCCACAGCGCACAGAGCTGACGAAAGGCTTCCTTGTTACGCCATGTTACATCGTTGTACCCCGTTGAATACCCTCTTGTGTGTGTTCTTCTTTTTTTTTTGATTTTTTTATTCCCGAAACGGTACATGCATTTTAAAACGTAAGATGTAAAATTTTTTATATTTT